CATAAATTAGAAAAATACTTGGTGTACTCTCATTTTATACTCCCAATTTGTATTCCCTCTCACATGTTCTTGATGTAGACATTTTTCTACGGACTCACATGTTGAAAATAACCAATCCTGGTTTGCCACCTCAGGGAGTACAAATGATGGAGTACAAATTAAAAGTCTCCGTAGTAAAACTCCATAAATTATGTGCATTATGCATATGAATTTTGTGTTTTGGACCAAGGTCCCTGGTTCACGATATAAGGATTGTTAAAAACCTCCGCCAACGGACGTTTCCATTAATCCTGATCCACCCATCACATATTCACATGTCCATTCATATTTAATTAGGAATTAAATCAAAATTAATTGGCATAGCTGTACAGAACTACCGATCTATATTTTGATAATAACCAAGTGGTTTGTGGTCCACTGGTATTTGATTACTCCCTTATGTGGGAAGTCTAAGGTTTAAACCTCTATGTAGATGTAAGTTGTATATGCGAGTATCCTTTTTTTTTTTTGTAATAAAAAAAAATATTTTGATAATTAATTTTGATTTATTTCAGTAGTACTTAAATAAATCAATATTAATTATCAAAATATTGATATGTAGTTTATGTACACCTATGCCAATTATTCAACTGGAAAGGCCAGGGAACACGTGAATCATACGTAGAGCCATTTCAAATTCGTGGGCCCTACTAAATAATATCATTTTAATTAATAGCATTGTCGTTTTTGTGAACCAACACGCAACTTGACCTTGAGCCTTTGAGTACCCAAACAAATATGGACCTACCAACAATGTATGATTAGAGAATTTTTTTTTTATATTTTATTTTTAATATCAAAAGTTACTCTCCTTAATTCCTTATTACTATAAACAAAAAAAAAAAATTGTAGTGCCATTTTATAAAAAATATTATCATTTTTTAAAATTTATAGTGGTAGCTATCATTTTTTTTTACATTGCAAAAAAAAATTTCGTGACCAAAACAAAATGAAATTTTGAAACAAAATCTTGTGAATAAAGTGAGGAGTAAAAAATTTTGAAAAAGTTTCTTTGCTCTCAAACGTAGGCCATTAACTTCGTAACTCTTAATAAATATAATAATTAAATATTTAAAATTTATAATATAAAAATGACAAAAGTAAAAATAAACACAGTAATACTATAATGACATGTTTGGTTCATGGAATATGTCAGTGATGCAATAAAATTTCTTAAAATAGACCTATTCCATTGTTTGTTTTGATCATTTTGTCATGAGAATAACATTTCTAAGAATGAGCCATTACCTTTACAAGGGGAATAGTCATTCCTAAGGGGCCTTGGTATTAACTATTCCAATGGTCTTGGAAATAACTTTTATATTACAAATACTAAAAATACACGTTGCACATTATTTAACATTTATATTTAATAAATATAATGTATTATACAAATGTATATATTTAATTAATTATAATTTTTATCTAGGAATAAATATATATTTAAAGAATATATATATATATATATATATATATATATATATATATATATATATATATACACACACACACACAGAGACACACAACATACATAATAATAATAATAATAATAATAATAATAATAATATTATTATTATTATTATTATTATTATTATTATTATTATTATTATTACTAGTATTTTCACCCGTGCGATGCACGGAATGGAATTGTTGTAATATATTAAGAATATTTAAATCGATATATAATTATTTAAGAGTTAATTTCACCAGAGGTCGTTTATCTTTCCTGACAATTCCAAATTTAGTCCTAGACTATAGTTATTAATTATTACAATTTATTCTATGTTACAACTATTACGTTAATATTCTTACTATTATTATTAACACTTAATTACTTTTAGATATTATTATTACCACTTATATTATTATTATATTATTATTACTAGTATTTTCACCCGTGCAATGCATGGAATAGAATTGTTGTAATATATTAAGAATATTTAAATCGATATATAATTATTTAAGAGTTAATTTCACCAGAGGTCGTTTATCTTTCATGACAATTCCAAATTTAGTCCTAGACTATAGTTATTAATTATTACAATTTATTCTATGTTACAACTATTACGTTAATATTCTTACTATTATTATTAACACTTAATTACTTTTAGATATTATTATTACCACTTATATTATTATTATTATTATATTATTATTACTAGTATTTTCACCCGTGCAATGCACGGAATAGAATTGTTGTAATATATTAAGAATATTTAAATCGATATATAATTATTTAAGAGTTAATTTCACCAGAGGTCGTTTTTTTTTTTCAAGTACTGTTAGTATATAATGGTCGTGAGGCACAATAATAATATAACCATAATTAAATATTCTTGTATTGTATTCCGGAGTTAATGCCATTTTTTGTCCTAGACTTATTGATGCATTGACACTTTTCATCCTCCATAATAAAAATTGTCATACTTAGTAGACACTGTTATTGGTCGTTGGACAGTTTTGATCCTCCGTCAATGAAGCCGTTTGTTGACCGTGAATTAGAAGGGCTTTTCTGTCTTTTTATGTCTTATTCTTCTAATCTTGTTTAGACCAGCGCTGTTGTGACTCCTGTGAGGCGAGATGGCGAGACTTGGCGGCTAAGTAGTAACTGTCGGTAGTGAGTAGCAGCGCGGTTCTTCTAGGATTTCTATTACCATCATTAATTATTCTCAAATTTACCATAATTAAATAGTTTGACCAATTATAAAGAAAGATTATTAAATAATGCACGGGACAATTGTGTAATTAAAAATTTTAAAAATTCATTAATAAAACATAAGGTTCTCATAGTTTTTTCTTAGAAACTCTTTAATAAAGTATTTTTTTTAAAGAAACTGGTGGGTCAAACCGCCTACGGCAGTTTGCGGTGGATAGATCTCGAAAAAATACGTGATTTCAAAAAAACATTTGTCCAAAACGGGCAACGGAGTCAAAAGTTATGCCTTGCCGAACTTTTGACACCTTACAACTAAAAAAAATTAAAGGCCGGTTCAGCCGGCGAGGCGGCCGCTGAGGAGGCCGATTCCGGCCTTCCTCGTCGCGGCCAGCGACACGATTTTTGCAACACTGATATATAAAATAGATATAGATTAGAATAGGAATAGTATTACACAATTTTATAATATTACAATAAAATTTTAACCCAGAATTATTGGTAGAAATCAATATATTTTATATATAGTATAGATTGTATTACACTATTTTATAATATATTAGAATAGAATTTTAACGCAGAATTATTGTACGAATGGGAAAGTATAAATCAATATATTTTATTAAGAAGAGAGATTTTTAGGAATTGGGCGGGAAGTTAAAATTTCAGGATCTTGTTTTTATATATAGTATAGATTATTATTATTATTATTATTATTATTATTATTATTATTATTATTATTATTATTATTATTATTATTATTATTATTATTATTATTATGTATAAGGGTATTTATATTTGTAAAACATATTTCATTTCTATTCCTTTAACCTATCAAACACTTGAAACAATTCCTAAAGTTTATTCCTCCGAACCAAATAATAGAGTACAATTCATATATGTTATTATATCCTTACCTATTTCATTCCCTTTGGAATAACATTCTTATTCCCTTCAAATTCATTCCGTGAACCAAACGTGCTCTATTTAGTTTAGCTCTAAAAGTCTAACTTAATAAATATGACCATCCTATTGTTCAAACAAAATACAGGCGTGAGTGGACAACCCCAGTTAAGTTGGTTAGATTATTGAATTGGTCAACTCTAGACAACTTAGGTTGGTTTATCTTTTTTTATGCTCAATTGCCGGTTAAGGTTACAAGACATTGTTTACCCAGTACACACCCTCGATTAGTGATTTGATTTCCTCATTACTCAAAAAAAAAAAAAAAAAAAAAAATTTGCAGGCATGTGAGGTTTTTTTTTTTTTTTTTTTTTTTTTTTTTTTTTTTTTTTTTTTTTGGGAGCAAATGTATTGATTTTTAGAAAAATATGGACCAAAAGAGTGGTTACAACTTACAGGCATGAAGCATATATCCCCTTTTTTTGCGAGACAAACATTGTTAACATGTCCTTGTGGATGTCTAGTCGTACTTTAAACTCTCTTTTGCATTGGGAGTTTAAACTCTACTAATACAAATAAAATGTTTTACAAGTCACACGTTATAATGCTATTTAATTATACTTCGGAATAAAATGACAAGATGAGTGTGTTGTAAAGTGGTCGTGCGTATATTTTGTTATGCAATATATAGGTTGAGTTTTTATTTATTTATTTATTTATTTATTATTATTATTATTATTATTATTATTATTATTATTATTATTATTATTATTATTAGGATAAATGAAATTAAAAAAAAAAACATTATTATTGTTGTTACAGAAATAGAAAGAAAAAAGAGGCAAGGCAGATGAATAACAACAAGAGAGATATAAATGTTAGTGATGATAATGGTAAAATACTCATTTAATAATTAAGACCAATCACCTAACTAAAAACTCTACTCTTCTTAGCTTTTCAGATTTTAGCTTATCGTCCAAAAAGTTAATACAATAAGCCATTTTGACTTATTAGCTTTGTTACCAAACATGACCAATATATGAGTTGCCATGTAAATATCATGATGTGGTAATGATAATGTCATGTCCGTACGTGTCATCTAAAGTAACAACAATATTGGCATTATTAGCTATTGTCCTTAATTATATTACACTACTTTTTAATATAAATGTATTAAATTGAACAAAATACTAAAATACATGGATCTCAAAGATACTTGGACTGTTATATTTCTGTTAATTTGACATGATAATTATCATATGGTGAAAAAAAAAAAAAAAAAAAAAAAAACTAAGTATTGTGGTACAGCACTACAGGAGTACAGGGTGGTACAGTTTGCAATGCTATTAGTCTATTAGTCTATTAGTTTAGTGGGCGATGAATTGAAGAATAAATAGACGTGCGTGGTCTCTTCATCGCCTCAAGTGGCTACTTCCCTCCGCTGCTTCACTTTCTGTTTTTTCTAATACAGCAATGGATCTAGACTTGAGTTTCTACGTCGGAGTTGTAGGTAACATCTATCTTAGTTAGCTCTCTCAAGTCTCATCTCATCTCATGCAAATTATATCTCCATATATATAAACTACATACATACTCGGATCTTTAATCAATTTATTTAATTATTATTCACTTTTCTGCATATATTCAATTCACAGGAAATATCCTCTCCATTTTCATCTTCCTTTCCCCCGCGTAAGTTAATTTCTATTCTAAGTCCACTCATCGTTAATATTGTAGAGGTCAAACCAGGTACGGTAGAGTTGAATATGTGATGTATGTATAGTATACTTCAAATCATGTGATCTATATACTACACACTGTAGTGTTGACATATATATTATTATATTATTGCAGGGATGTATTCATTAGGATAGTGAAGAACAGATCCACAGAAGACTTCGATAGCATTCCTTACATCTCTACGTTGCTGAGTTCGTCCCTTTGGTGCTACTATGGCCTTACAAAACCCGGTGCCTTTCTGGTTTTCACTGTCAATGCTTTCGGCGTTCTGGCCGAGACCGTATACGTCCTCATCTTCATCGTCTTCGCTCCTCCTAAAACCAAGGTAACAACAACCTAACCGCCCTATCACCTCCGATCCGATCCGATCGATCTTGTACTGTACTGTGATTATCATTAGGGTTTTAATTAATTAATTGCAGAAGAAGACGGCGGCTTTGGCCGCTGCTCTGAACATTGCTCTTCTGGCGGTTGTGATTTTGGTGACCAAGTTCACACTTGAAGGAGAAGCTTTGATCGATGCTATAGGTTATCTGTGCATTGTATTGAATATCATCATGTATGCTTCTCCCTTGGCTGCAATGGTAATGTATATTTATTTTTCTCATTCATTTCACTACATTTACAACTATATTTATTTATTAAATTAAATTTTTCAATTAAAAATTATATACTAAAAAAATCACGCATTAGTTATCATTTATCTTTCTTTCTTTCTTTATTTATTTTTTTAAAAAGGACATTTGAAAAGTTCAAAATTAAATTTTGTTGACTGAAATATAATGAAACCAGACAGTCGGTGTTTTGTGGGGCAGAGGAAATTTTCCATTTTACACACATAAAAGAAATATATTTACCATTGATTAAATCAACTTTTCCTATTTAATTATTTTCTTAAATATTAATTAATAATTTTAAATTTAAATATTCTTTAAAAATGTACTAACATTAACTTCATTAGTACAGAAATTTAAATTACTAATAATTTTACTCAAGCGTGATTAAATGAATCATGTATGCTTAATGCTAAAAAAAATTCGATAAGCATATATAGTAGCAATGGTCTAATTACTGTAAGAAAAATATTGTGTGGACCAAGTTTTTGTACTAAACAGTATTGTATCGATTCGTAACAATCTTTCAAATATATTAGTTATTCATGTATCAAGAACTGATTAACATAATTATGAATTAATGAAATAGTTTTATATTAATATATGTGAAAGAGGTACTGACCCTGTTTGATAAAATAATTAGCTTAATCAATCAATGTTGACTTATTTGACTATTATTAGTTGTTTGACTTGTTAAAAAGTCAATATAAGTGTTTGATTAATTAGAAATAAATTAAAAGAGTTTCCTAACAAAATACAAATCTTAGATATTTTGCAAAAAAAGACACAATTAATATTGATTTTAATTTTTAATAATGTGTCATCTCTTCATTCACCGCCAGTGTATAGCATTTATACACAAACGGTACATCAAATATTAATCCTATTTAATTTGGCAGGGGACGGTATTGAGGACCAAGAGTGTGGAGTTCATGCCCTTCTACCTCTCACTTTTCATCTGCTTAAACGGTGGCGTTTGGGCTGTGTATGCTTTCATAGTTCGTGACTGGTTTCTTGGGGTAAGGTTTTCATTTAATTTTTATTTAAAAATAATTCTGTTTCATCGCAATCCGTAATCAATTAATTAATTATTTGAATTATTTATTAATTTGGTAGTTTCGGTACTATTCTGTCCCTTTTGGTTGGATTTCGAATTTTGATGGTATTTAATAACAATAGTTTTTTTTTTAATTAATTTTAAATAAATTTGGATGGTAGTGGGAATCTCTAATCCTCCATCAGCTCTAAAGATGTGTGTATTTTTTGTAAGTACTATTAACTTTGTAGTATTTGTCAATCGTGGTTCGAGAGAGTTACTTCATACCACTTGACTACAAGATCATTGGCAAGATATATGTGTATATAAATTGTGAAGTAATAATTAAAAACATATATTATGAATTAATAATTAAAGACATTTTAACTAAGGTAATTAAACTAGAAATAATAATATTTTTCTCAATGTTGTATATTAAATCTCAAATAATGTAACTTGCAATTGATCTTTGGAAAATTTGATCAGGGTTATTAAAATGAAATGACTTGAGTCTCAAAGCATATTGTATAAAAGATTTTGACTGATTATATATGTTAGTTATACATTCCTCAAATGAAATAATCTGGACAATTTTAAAGTAATATTGTTTGAACTCTTACTTTCTATCTATCTTAATTTTTATTCCCTATTAAGTTGACATGCTTTGATCAATTCAGAAAAGAGAAACGGGTCATAATTTTTTATTCCTCATCTTTTTTCACCCCATAAAGTTTGGACACATGACAACAAGAGCTATTTAATTCATAAAAAGAAATGAGTCATAGGTAGTGTGCCATTATTTTATTGGGTAGTTTTTTTTTTTCTTTTTTTTGATTGTTATATATATTCTTTATAAATTATAGGTGAAATCAACCGGTTTATGAGTAGTTCATAAAAAATTGAAATTAATAATTAAAAATAATCAATATAGCGTCTGGTGATGAATTTTATGTAGTGATTTTAATAGGGAAGGTAAGAGTATCATTTTTCTTCCACTCTCTAAAAAAATATAAAAAGTGGAGGTAACCCCAGTCAAGACGACAAAAGATCCACGCTTGTAACTACAAGTCACGAGTTTAAATCCTTGCTCTCTTGGTTAAAACTGATATACTATAAATAACCTAGACTGATTTATTTCATTATGGTTCTTTACTTTTTGTAATTTTTTTGGCCACATTACACAATAACAAGTTGAGCCTATATATGTACAGACATTCTACTTATTTCGTTTTTTTTTTCCTTGTTTTCTTTTAAAAGGAAACACCATATGTAGTACCATCCATTTTGGGAGTTTCTAAATAAAATCACACTTTCTTTGTGGCAGTTATTGAACTTGTAATTTACCAAATAGAAAAAAAAAATGTGTGCAGGTACCAAATGGGACAGGATTCATATTTGGGGCAGTACAGCTAATATTGTATGCCATTTACAGCAAGCCAAAAACAGCAAAATCCTCCACTGCAGTATTAGAAGACAGTATGCAAAATGAGCCCTTGATTTCAGCTTAGATTTGTCTTTATTTTATTTTATTTTTATTTTTATTTCCAGGTTTTTTATTATATATTTTCTCTTTATTTTTTGTTTTCTGTTTCTTAGCAACTTATTAAAATTTTATTGTATGATAAATGAAGATAATATGGATCATTATACAGCAATTTTTAGACTTCAGGTATTGCTGCTGTGAATTTCTGAAAATGAAATTATAATATGGATAATAATTTGAAAATGTTAAAAATTGGTTCTTTTCCCTTAATCTTTAGATGCAAATCTTGTGTGAATTATGTTCATAACCATACAGAGATGAAGTAAGAGCAGAGCAAAAGAGAGAAGAAATTGGAAAATGCAGGAACTGCTCAGCAACAGTTTTCATTCAGAACCACCAGTATATATACATACAACATGGGATAAAACGGTGGATAAGATAATGGCCAATAATATATATATTTACAACACCCCCGGCCATTATCTTACTACATTTATGCTTCATTAAAAAAACCTTGCTAGGAAAATTCTGTGAGAAAAACTTAGTCCAGAAAAAAAAGTACATAAATATTTTAATACATGTTATACGGGATTGCCTCATTAAAAACCTTAGGCTAGCAAAAACTTAGCTAAGAAAAAGAGTATAACCATAGATCAATCATAAACCTTCATGGTATAATCTTCAAGATTTTGGGATTTGTCTATTTAAACTATTTATTTGCAACTTTTCCCTTTTGACATTATTATATCATACTCATGCCTCGTTAAAAACCTCACTAGAAAAATCCAATAGGAAAAACCTAGTGAAGAAAAGAGTACATGATATGTATGCATTCATGTGTTGCACCAGCTGCCTCGTTAAAAAAAAAAAAAAACCTTTAATTAAGAAAATTACATCAAAACTCAATCAAAGGAAAAAAGAGTACAACGGTTTATCTTCAATGCCCAATCTTTAGGATTATTCAAGTCAAATCTTCAAGATTGATTCAAGTAAATGTCACTCCCCCTGAAGATAACAATTTTCAATGTCTACACATTTTAACATAAAAACATTTTTCAAATATAAGTGTAGAAAAGAGGTATGTCACAATGTTCAAGATTGTCACTAGAGTGAACATTTGGTATAACAATCACGTGACTCTTCTAGAGCTCACGTGGGTTGAATATTGACACTATATCTACTTTGTCAAATATTCATAAATATACTCATTTATAATCTGTGGAACACAACCTTTAACACCCTCGTATGGAACATTGCGAGTAAAAACATAGCATAACCAGTTTGGGACTTGGCATCATGGGGATCATATAAAACAGCCAGTACCCAAATAGCCCATCAAAACCACATATTGATTTATCACATAAATGTTAAAATCTTTGTACCTCAAAGATACTGGATGATATATGTTGAATACTATTGCATTGCAAAATGGAGCATTAAATGTTGTTACCAATTTCATCGCAGATACAATGTTAGACCTGATGCAATTATGAAACTTCTGGTTCTATATAGTGCTCGAATAGCAACGAAATAATAGACTTCTAATCCCAAAGTATCCTCATTATTATCTTCGAGTCTAAATGGTTCCTTATCTACTTCAAGAGATTGGACAACCGTAAGTGTGACAAGTAAATGAGACTTATCCATTCAAAATATCTTCAAGACATTTTTTCAAGTAGACTAACTGGTATATAAAACTCCTTCAAGGAGAAGCTCGATCTTCAATACTCGGGTTTCCCAAGTCTTTCATTTCAAACTCTGTCTTTAGGCATGAGCTAATATAATCAACCTCTTTATTATTCAATGATCTTCATACCATCAACACAGAGTCACAGACTGAGATAATAAATAGATAACTCCATTAGCAACTCTTTAATGAGCACATAATGGCACATATATATTCACACATACATATTCCCACTTCATTTAGGAGGAAATCACTCAGTCAATCGCTTACACTTCAGGTCAAGTAAGCCTTTGTAATTCAACAAAATACGTGTTGTGATTTTCAATTTTTTTCTCAATCCAAGAATTATAAATCCATTACGGATTTTTCCAAATAAACATTAGCGTCTAATGACTCACAATTATGCAGTCATGACGTTCATAAGTTATCTAAATTTATTATCCTGCCAATGATAGTATGTAGCGAAACTTAATGTCATCTATAGTAGGAGAGTGTATTTGATTAAAAACAATCAAGGGTCTCTCTGTGGACCCGTAGGCTACAAAACTTGCTTTAGATAACACCACCTCATTATTCTAATTTCTCTTTCGTACAAACATACATTTGTAACCTACAGGGTTTACATTCAATAGTGTACGTATTATAAAGAGAATATATATATATATATATATATATATATATATATATATATATATATATATATATATATATATTTTAGCGACTTGAGCTATGCCTTAATTGCTTCTTTATATCTTAAATAGTCATGACCCTTCTGGTGCCTAACTCTGGATCAAGATTATCATATAACGAGAGCAATTTGTAAAGACAATTGTGTTATCGATAACTATAAGATTTTATCATAAATTTCTCCCATATTCATAAATGTCCATGGCAATAGTTAAGTTAAGTCAACCAGATTCTAGTCATTTTTCAAAGATATTTGGATCTGATCGTTCTGCATTTGCAGTATTATGATTATTCGGTATACCTATAAGTTTATTGAGGTTTTTCGCCTTATGGACGAATGTCTTCAGGACATAATTCTTTAAGAGATTTCAAGAGTGACAATGTTTCTTTACTAGATTTAGCTTTCCGTGGATTCTTATCTTCTATAGTGATCGTTCTCCTATACTTCTGGTGTCAAGGAGCAACGGTAGATATATTCAGTCCAATTTGGGGAATATATAGAGACCTAATCACTCTTTTCTGATTAACATGATCAATAGATATGTTTGGCAGCTTTATTCGCTAATAGTTGCAAATTGATTTCCTTCTGAACTTCTAGTTCAGTCTAACTAGTACGTGAGTTTAAATATTGAAGATCTTTTCATTCCATGAAATTTCTCAACATTCCATTCAATTTGGGCTCATATATCTCTCCCTAATGCCATGAAATGATCTTCATGAGGTATGCAGTTAGCGTATCCATTGCTCTAGGTATTTAAACAACAGACGGATGTTTATAACTAAAATGTATATCCAACTTCATTTGATAGCCCACAGAGATACGCTATGGTGGTGATATAGTAAAATGAACCGCATACTAATAATAGAAACGCAGATTGAGAAATGTTCGATTCTACCACGTACTAGGTGTATGAGATATGTTCGATTCTACCACGTACGATATGCAGTGACTAAGATTTTGATTCAAAATAGTAGTATATCAAGTTCGATGCCCAACAAGATTAGTAAAATCTGACCATCATAATTGGCCCACAGTGACCCAATTTCTCATGCCATAATTTAAAAGAATTTGGGTCTTTAAAATTTCAAAAGAATCGCAACATATGAAGTACTCATAAGTATATGCTTATATGTTCAAATAGAGAAAACATTCACATTAAATGAACGTATAAGAGTACTCAACTATCTTAGGGAGGTTAACTAAACGTCAAAATAAATGTGTAGATGGTGAGACCATTCAGGATCTCTAATCTATTTTCTCAACTTATGAATGGTCATAAGCCTAAAATATTCACAACTTGTTTGCTCCAAGCAAACCAACATGATGTGATTCACTTTTGGCTTTCAAACACATAGTATTTTTGACAGAGTAGCACACCACTAAAGATAGAAATTGCAGATTTTATTCATGAGCCATGAGTCTTTAGTTACCCAAAGATTTATCACTGTTTGAGGTCTTCTAGACCTTATGAGAAAAGTATTCAATGGCCAGTTACATTGTCAAGTAGGGAAGATTTATAACTTAGACGGTATAATATTCTCACAAAAACTAAGGTTTTGATATCTTACAAAGATCAATGGCACTCAACACCCTTAGTATAACTTTGTCATGTACTACTACTGGAGTACAATGTTACCATCATAGAAGACAATAAGACTCACATTATTTAGTATGATTTTTCCATGTACTTCTACTGGAGTATAAGGTTTGTCATGTACTTCTACTAGAGTACAAGGTGACTGGCCTAGAAGGCTGGTGGAGTCTTGTATTCATCTTGTCTTTCTATAATTATTCTAATATAGTTTCGCTTATGAAACAATACTATATTATACCGGTCATATTCAGAGACGGATTCAACATCTTGAAATTTCATATTTAGTCAATATGAGATTATAACAATTTATTGATCAAAACAATCCTTCATGGATTGCCTTAGGGCCTATGGATACATTTCGATCAAATACTCATAATTGAGGTTTTAGTCCAAAAGGATGACGTAGAAATGATTAGTGCTCTTAATTTACCTTCTAGGCTGGGTAAAAGTATATTAAAAATTAGGCACTATCATTTTGTTTAAATACTCAGATTTGAGGTTTATTTCAATGCCAAAGGCTCATGTGAAACAATTTCTATAGCAAATTAGCACCATCAATTGACTATTGAATTTAGACAAATAATCATTGACTTTTGAGTCAGGATCAAGACAATTTGACACAAGTCATATAAATTGTCCTAGTGTTATTATCATATAATTAGTGCTATAACTTGTTGCCTTTTGGGCGATGCTATGTCTAGAAATCAGGCTATAGTTTCATTTATAAGATATAAGATAAATCTTAACAATCATGGCTTATAGCAAATAAATGCTAACATAAAAAAATCACCTCAATAAATTCTCTTTTGAGAAAGAAAGTGTTGTAAAACCTTATGTGGACATTATTCTGACTTTTATATTTACGATTGTTGTACAGAGTTTTTTTCTGGATGATAATAAGAATTACTTTTCTCTGTTCTTTATTCTTCTTCTTCATGCTATTCTTACTCTTTATTACTGTTCTCCACGAGCTAAAGGCCTGCAGACAAACCTGCAATTCAACACGTTATCAGCACGCTCAACCCCGGTGAACGGTAAATTTTATGAGTTTCAATTATTTTTATCTCTGCCTAATTGCTTGTACCGCATGATATATATATATATATATATATATATATATATATATATATATATATATATATATATATATATATTGGAAATTTTATGTAAGATTTATGTTCATCTAAATTCTTTTTACCCTATAACAAATAAAAAC